TGCACATAAAATCTCATACATTTTTTTACGGAAAGAATTCTAATCTATTATATTTCAAATTCTACCACAGTCCATAATTATAAAACTGAATTAATTAAATCATTTAATACTACCATAAAAAGGAAGATAAAATTGAAAATTGTTAATTATTATACGAAAATATGTATCAATAAGTAATAACTGCATTTTTCACAGCAATGAAGTCGGAGGGTATCCGTCTTCTCTACTACGAAATGCTCAAATAAAATTATTTTAATAATAATTTTATAATTTATAATTTATCTATTCATATGGATATTCATATGAATATTTTACTTTTACAAACATTTATATTGAATATATTTTGATTTTACAAGTAACTACTATAACTGTATATCTTCAAACTAATTGTTAAAATCACGATGTGCAAGAAGCCCTATCCTGATCTAATACATAAAAAAATCTGAAAAAATCTACTCATGGGTATAAAAAATATCCGTGGTCACTATGCTCATCAAAAATTCTCGTATACAACCAGTCACTCGTGCCGATTCGGACCTTTCATCCTACGACATGATTGAGTGACCGGAGGAACAAAAATGCATGCGACTCACTGCGATAAACATTATTATCGATGCTGCACTGGACCAAAGAAAGTCGTCGTGAAGATCCTCATCAAGAAGATACCACTGAGAATTCCATGGTAGAAGTGAATGCCGTGACAAATTTCTAAAAACACAATGTTATTTAAATTTTAATAATAATAAAAATTGAGCTTTTAATAATTTGAAATGTTTTTATTTTATAGGTATAATTTTACATTCAACTTCAATGGAAAGAGAACTATAAAGAATAGAATTAATTCAAATGCAATGTGTTAAAGTACTTACATTTTTAGCTCTTGAAGTAAGATTCTCAGAAGATAAGGAAAACTGGAAACTATAGAAAATCTGTAACAAAACATAAAACAGAGTTAGAATTTATATTTAAAACCAAAACAGAATCTTAGGTTGAAGATAATAAAAAAATTCTTACATTCTTGGCATTGGAGCCACCGTTGGATTTTCCAGAAAAGTTGATACTGCGAAACATCTATAACAAAACATCAAACGTTACATACTTTGTCGGATTTGAAAAATTGAGCAAATTGAAGTACAATATATAAAATTATTTACAATCTTGATCTCTTGAAGAGACCTTATCCTCTTGAGCACTGATTCTAATATACCGAAAACGAATGTTGAATAAGAAAAAATATAAAAAAAGAAAAACAAGACAATGCGCGTTTAAGTAACAATCGGCGGACTTACTGACTCTAAATTCACGAATTATAATTTAAATGAACTGATATTCTATCTTAATAAAAGCCATTTTGCTTAGAAAAATATTAAAATACTGCGCAATAAAACACTGATTCTACCGACCGCATTGCGCGCGGTCACAAAAATTTTCTGAAAATAAAGCTGATTAGAAAGGGAAGGGCAAAGAGTACGTTTATTTAGAAAACACTGCTATTTTTCTAGAAAATAATTATAAAGAAGCTTGAATATGCATTAAAAATATTAATTGGAAATTATAATGTAAAAATATTAATTGGAAATTATAAAGTATTTCTCAATATTTGCAGAAATATTTGTAGAAATTATATTCTGAATGTTTGTTATTAAAATATGAAATATGCACATTAGCGACATATTACGTCGTACTTTATAAATATTCGGAAATGTTTGCACAAATCAAAATTTCACAGCTAAATGTATTTAAAGAATCATACACGTGTAAAATCTTGCCCTGAATCGTTTAATTTGAAACGTCAGCAAATGTCATCACGGAAAAAGTAAGTATATTGCAACAAAGTATGGTATAGTAAAGTACAAAAACGAATTTAATAATCTAATACAAGAATATATATCCATTTGAAAGTATATACCATTAAACAACTAGGATCTCTACATTCCAAATAGATTAATTGATTTAATCCTTATCATTTCCATCCTTTTATCCCATATAATTACGAAATCACGTATTGTGAGTTGTATTTCAAATATATATAAATTATATAGCAAATGTTACTACAATGTTACTATTATACAAATGATACATTTATATGTAGAATGAATAAAATGTTATCAACTTTCTGTAAAAGTTCATCAGATTGTTCATTAATAATTGTGGCATCTATGCATTCCATGCTACTTTTGCAACCAAGGAATAACCTGTATAAAAAGAAAAAACTAGAAGTTAGAACGCATATGCTTAAATGAAAACAAATATGTAAAAATGAAACATAACCATAAGAGTGAAATGGAAGAAAAATCGTTTAGGAAATGAAAAATTTTATTATATTACGTAGAATTATTATTTTAACTATTAAATACGTACATTCTTAATAAACTATTCTTGAATTTAGTATTATAAAATTGTTAAAAATTATGCAATGCGAAGTTAAAGAATCGACAAATGAGTAGAAGATGTTATAATAGAAGTGTGTGTGTAAAAGCATATAATAAAATATGTGTATGTATATATAACAATGAGTTAGTCAAATACAAAGTTACAATATTTCTACTGGTTAGAATTAAATTAAATTTTGGTATAAAGTTATAAATAACTTCTAGCATGCTATGTTTAAATGCTCATATACCATTATTTCTTTAATTATTGAAAATCATGTGAAATTATTTGGTTACATTTTACTTTAGGAAACTAAAAATTATACATTGTTTTTGATAATCTTACAAATTTCGATTAGTTCAAGCTAAAAATGCAAGTTTCATCTTTCATCTCAAATTCATAACACAAACACAAAGTTATTGATTTATATTTATATACCTGAGAATTTCTGGATGACTTCTTTTTGGATAATACTTATGGATATTTTCTCCTTTACAGACGAGATGTGCTCCTTTCCGCCATGTTTCCCGCTTAAAAATCGATCCTATCGATTATGGTCGAGAATCATAGGAAGTATATTCCGTATTTCACCGTTGGCGCTGTAATCGCACAATTTCGCACGAAATAATAACTTGGAATAAAAAATAAAAAACTCTGGTCTAAATTAAATATATAAAATTTATAAGAAATTCTTTTAAAAAACGAAAATATTCACATACTTGATGAAAAATTATCAATATTTTAAACTGAGACATGAGAAATTTTATTATATTACACAATGGAATTATTATTTCAGTCATTAATATCTACATCTTTTATAAATTATTGTTGAATTTATCAAAATTATTATTGAAATTATCAAGAATTATGTACTATATAAAATTAAAGAATAAACAAATGAATAGAAAATATTACAATAGAAGTAGAAGCATATTATATATATAATAATATATTAGTCATATTACAAGGTCACAATATTTGTAGTGGTTAGACTGAAATTAAATTTTAGTATAAAATTATAAATAATTCTAGTATAGTATGTTCTGTTTAAATGCTCATATATTACTTCTTTAATTGTTGAAAATCATGTGTAATAATTATTTAGTTAAATTTTACTTTAGGGAACTAAAAATTATGCTCTGTTTTTGGTAATCTGGCAGATTACAATGAGTTTAAGTTGTGCACCCAAAGTGCAAGTTTTACCTCAAAAATTCACGACACAAACATAAATTTAACAGCTATTGATTTAAATTTTTACTTAAGAACTTATGAATGACACCTCTTCCTGGATGATTTTTCTGGATAATATTTTCTCCTTTACAGACGAGATGTACTCCTTTCCGCCATGCTTCCCGCTAAAAATCGATCCTATCGAATATGGTCGAGAATCGTAGGAAATGTATTCCATGTTTCACCGTTGGCGCTTTAACTAATTTAAACCCAATATGCGCGCGTTTCGTACGAAATGTTAACTCGGAACAAAAAATAAAAATCTAAATCAAATACACAAAATTCATGAAAAATTCTTAAAAAATTCTCATACATTAGATAAAAAATCATCAATACTTAAAACTGTTATAATTTCGTGCAAAAAATGGTAGGACAATTAATTTGATTTTATTTTAAACCGCAGTCTTTATTTTAATAATCCTGAATTTATTTCTTTCAAAGCTATTTATTTTTACATTGTGCAGCAAATATAAAAGTGAATAATTTTCGAATATTATAAAAACTGAAATGTCTTGCTAAAGAGAAATTTTTCCATCATGATCAGATAAATTATTATCTTGAAAATTGAAATTTCCCCTTTAGAGTCAGCTCTTAAACTAGTTGTACGATTTTTTTCGCTATTTTACTAAACTTTAAACAATAATTCATTAATTTTTAACGAGTTATAATAATATATGACCTCGTATGTGAATCACTGAATTCGTCTTAAGAAATAACTATCTCATTTAAGAAAATGAATTTGACTTCAAAATTTCGAAAATGGCAAAAAATAATTTATACCACACACTATAACTTTATACCAAACAATATAAAAACATTTCTTTGATACGTCCAAGCTTTTATAAAATCGAGATTGCAGGATTCATTCAGTTTGTGAAGCACATTAAAATAAGTAAAAAATGTCATGTCTAATATCTAATTCATATCTAATTATGTTATTAAAAAATATATTTCAATCAGTTTTTTCTAATACTTTTAAATAGATGTAAATAATTAAATATATAATAAATTTTTCATTCCAATTTCCATTACTGTTTTAAATTATTATATTCTTTCATTGATGATCCATGATACCATCATATTTAATTCAATAAATAATTCTCGAAACATATACCTCATCTGTGCTGTTATAATAAATTATCTATATACAACACTGCACAATATCTGTACTTTTTTCTGTCCTCCTTATAGTAAAATATGTTTTTAAACTAATAAACGTAGCATAATACAAAGAAAAAAGTGAAAAGTAATAATATTGTTTTCAGCATATATAGATGTTAAATACATATTTTAGAATAATGTATAGCTATATAAGCAATTGAGTAAAATTTTTGCTTCTTATTGCTAAAGTTTATTATTGATATAAAAAATATCATGAACATATAAAAATGTGTATGTCAATTTATTATATTATAAGGAATATAAAATAAATATACATTTTTATCGTAGAATAATTTTATTTTAAAATACAATTCTAGTAATATCTATTTTGTATAATTCTCTACCACTCTCTTACTTTAGTTTGTGTAGCATATGTTAGCCTCCATGTTTTATACTCCTTTTTCTTTCTTTCTACTTGATTGTGCCTTGGTTTTGCCTTACATTTTATATATGCCCTATCATTCCTCCACATTAATAAACAATCTTTACACCTTCGTCTTAGTACAGTTTTCATTTTCAAACCACATACAATATTATAGATTGGTAGTAATGGTTGTAGTAATATTGAACTAATTTTGCTCTTATGTACATTTGATAAATTATTTGAATATTGTTTATCACATAAATGATGCATATTACGATTTATAACTTTTGTGAATTGTTCTGCTGATAATAATCTTAGACTTGCACATTTTATTGTTTGACAGCTAGTTTTGAATAACGAATATAGATTCATTGCTCCTGTATAAAAATATTTTACATGTACAAATTTAAAAAATAAAAGTTCTATGCGAAAAACATTACATATAACCTCAATTGAGATAAGATAGAATTGATTTTACTAACCAATAAATATCGATGAGACTGTTGATAATATGGCGAATGAAAGTTTGCAACAATTTGTAAATTATTTAGTTATAATAAAAGTTATTTAACTGTAATGCTTCGTAAAAAGTAAATTTCTATTAAATTTTTGGCTTCAAACTTGTTAAGCTGCTTACATTAAGGTACACATCAAACTTAGCGAATAACAAAAAATTAAAGAGCATTTACATGTACTATATTAAATATACATATACGTATAAATTATACTCATATGTTATAAACGTAATATTTTATACGCAATCAGTTTATCAGTTCTATAAAAGATTTTAGAATGCAAATAAATGAAACACATTGTATAAAGAAATGCCCTATTTACATCGCACTTAAATCAAGTTAGTTTCGACAGCCATTTTATAAAAAATTTTTTGTAATTGAATTAACTGGTTTGCTAAATAGAAAATTGAAGATAAAAATGGAATATATTAAATATTTGCTTGTATAAAAAAAAATTAACATAAAAAAAATAAAATATAACCTACAACAAAACAAGCTCAAAAACAAGAGTATGAAAAATAAAATATTTGGATTAGTTTATTTTAATTATGATACAATTAATGTAATTGCATTAATGAAATGAATTTTTTTTTCGATTAATCAGTTGTGATAATAAATCTCTTATTTAGGTTATGTTTTATTCTTTATTTTCTTAACAAAAATCTCGTAAACTGCTGATTAGTTATGTAAAATATTGTTTGCAGTAATCTGAATTTAATGAAAATAATAAACGTGGAATTGTCAAAATGTTGTTGAGGAAAGTAAATAACTTGCTACAAATTTTTGTAAGTATTTATAAAAATATATTTTCATATTTCTTTGTTCTTATATTATCCAAAGTTCAATCTTATCAGCATATTTAAAATTTACAGAGTTCTGGTCAAAAAATAAGCAACAGATATCTAAATTTCATACCTGTTGTTGTTGAACAAAGTGGTAGAGGAGAACGTGCATATGACATTTACTCACGTCTCTTAAAAGAAAGAATTATATGTCTGATGGGTCCGGTATGTATCATCTTCTTTTTAATTACATTTACATTATTTCAAAATTCTTTATTTAACATTAAATTTTAAGTTAAAAAATTAAGAGTATCAAGAGTATATAATTTTATAGATTACAGATAATGTGTCCTCAGTAGTGATAGCTCAACTTCTATTTCTTCAGTCTGAGAATAGTAAAAATCCAATTCATATGTATATTAATTCACCTGGTGGAAGTGTAACTGCAGGGCTTGGTATATATGATACTATGCAATATGTTCTACCTCCTGTTGCAACGTGGTGCGTAGGACAAGCATGTTCAATGGCAAGTTTGTTATTAGCTGCAGGAACAAAAGGTATGCGTCATTCGTTGCCTAATGCAAGAATTATGACACATCAACCATCAGGAGGTGTATCTGGTCAAGCTACTGATATACAAATACAAGCCCTAGAAATATTAAAGCTCAAAAAGCAAATCAATCATCTATATGTCAAACACACAGGCCTAGACCTGGAAAAAATAGGTATATCAATTTGTAAAATTATGTTAAACGAATATTTATAACACGTTATAATTTTACAGAACGGTGCATGGAAAGGGATAATTTTATGAGTCCCACTGAAGCAAAGGAATTTGGAATTATAGATAAGGTATTATCTCAACCGATGCAAGAAGAAGAAGAAATAGAAAGCACAAAATTACCCTTGAAAGAAGCTACTCTTGAAGTTACCACCCAACCTTAATATTAGGGTTAAAGAACACATGTGCTTAAAATTATGAATTTTATTAAAACATGTATTTATCAATATTTAAAAATAGTAATAAAATATTTTTAACACAATTTATATCATGTATATAACTGTATTTAGGTACAGTAAATGTGCCCATATTTTGTAAATATCATGTAAATATATAGCGTAGAATGATGATCTCATAAATGACAAACATATGAATTAATGTTTTGATTAAAGAAACCATATTTCTTTGACATTATTTTTCAGGCAAATAATATATCACCAAGCATTCTCGCTATGTGTTGAACATATATAATGCTATTGATTATAGAGGGGACGACTTGAACTGCATAAAGTCGTAATGGAAGACAAGATTTTGTATCAAAATATGTCTATATACAATTAATAATTAATTTTGATTTGAACGATTTGACCTGTACGTATCTTTCTATCGCAGTTTATAATGGCAGTCTCGCATTTAAAATATTCTTAAAAATACATTAAGTTTATAATTTCATTAGTATTCTATTATCACCAAAAATACTTTATAAAAAAAAAGGACGGAATTGATTATGTGTCTCAATGCTAGACAACAATAAAGCATTTCACAATACAGTGATATTGCATGTCATTAAAAAATGAATATTCCCCTAATACCAGCTTTTGTAAAACCAGTTTTATATCTTTTTTGCGTGTAAAATGCACATTCGCCCTGTAAAAATCACTGAGGGCATACTTGAGCATGTGCAAGCATTAATATATCTTTTTTTTCTTTAGGAAATCTAAGTTCTCTTCCAGCTAGACGTGCTGCTTCGAGTTCTCTTTCAGCCAATGCTAATTCCATAGCAACAACGCCGCCACCGCTTTCATGTTCTCTTGCTACCCAATCCAATGCCATTTGACTACGCATATCATCATCTAAAGCTCGATGACTATAATGAGCAACTACTTCTTGTCTGCTACATTGTCTTTCTCTCATTGCTTTCAAAGATCCATTCCAATGAAGTAATTGAAAGACTGTCATTAATTCTTGAAATTCTAACATAGTCCTCCCACGATTACATTCTAACATAAAACGAAATGCTCCTATACCTGTATTTGGATCTTCTTTCTCATCTCCACTTCCCTGAAAATTGAATAATTCATTTAATATGGTTCTTACAATAACAAACATACTCAGATCAAATTGAAAACATACCTGTGTTTGATTAGTGTTGGAAGTTGCAGAGGGCTTGGCAAAGCTAGCTCTTGCTTCTGCAACAGCTTTTTCTATAAAATCATCTGTTATTTTACGTGCTGGATGTTCATTGAAAACAGAGTTCATCAAAGCAATTTTTGCTGCTGATCTACGGGCCTCTGCTTTGGTGGGACAGTTTTGAAAACTACCAAAGCAAGATCCTCCAGGAAGAGTTACATAACACACGTAAGGTGGGCTGGTGCCAGGTACAGATTCATAAATAACTAATGCTCCATTTCTTAACTCAGTTCCTCTACTTTGTTTCATTTGCCAAAACTCTTGCAAAGCTTCTACTACATTTACTATAAGAAAAAGTGAGGTAATATATGTAATAATATATATGTAATAACTTTAATATCAAATAGAAAGACAAAAATAAATGTAATTATACCTCTTCCATAGCCTTGAGTATGCTTAGCAAAGCTGTTGACAACAGCTTCCACAGCTTCTTTTAATACTTGTTTATCCCTAGCATCTACCAATCCACCTGTGATACCCATATTTTCAGGAATTCGAGATTTTGTTTTAACTGGCATTATGCCCTGCATCACCTTTTAAAAACTCACGTACATTTAAGTCTCCTATAAAAGTGATTAAATGATCTCGACTGAGCAGATTAAATAAAAAAAAACTGGATTAAAAAAAATGATTATTGATAGAATACAAGTGAAACTTTTGTCCCGATATTGAGATCAATGATCAATCGATCATAGAACGAAAGAAACGAACGGATGGAGTAGAAAAATTTCAATTACATACGTAGCTAAAGTCAGCGGAATAATGTTAGCAAAGATTGTTTTTCTAAGATGTTCGGTGTGACAGGTCTTGAATGTTTAGCAAATAATGAAACGATAAAGTAATTGCTGCGACACTGAAGAAAACAAACGTGAAAAGATACTCTAGTGGCCCACCTGCAGAGACCCGAATGCCCAGGAATTCGTGTAAATTACTCTCCAACCAAGCACTACGAGATCAAATTGCAATATACATATAACGCGTTTAATGGCCCCGGACCACTGACGATTTCCAGAAAACCAGGGCTGTCTACCTCGGTCAAGTACCCCATACTACGGTGACATTATCACTGAGGATTGCCAACTGATTATCAATATTCTCTACCAAGCACAGTGTCGGATTCTATAAGCATGGAACCCACGCTCAAATGTATTTTAATATTATATATACCACACATACATACACACCATATATCAATTCCAACATATGAATAAAAAGAAAACTTAATAATAAAATATTATTTCAAATATAGATTAATTTGATGTTAATTCTATGTTGATTTAAGATAGACCTTTAAATACTATAGCTACTGAAAGCTATAATTTAAATATTTAAAAATGATAAAAGTTAAAAGTATAGATTCATTATATTTAATTATAATACAATATATATTTCAATTATTATTTCGTATGTTACAAAATAAATAACAAATATTTAAAAATATACAGGAATGGCATTGAAAATACGTAAAGTAGATAACCAACTAATTTTTAATGTTATATACGCCGTATATGAGCACAGACGAGGTATGAATAGACACTGAACCTTACGGGCCTTTCTTGGCCCATGACCTGAAATACCGACATACTAAAAAATCTGGCTTTTTAGCGCACTCTATATTTAAACAACAGTAAGTTGGGAAACAAGTGAATGACAAAATGTCCTACAGAAATAAATTATCAACTGCTAATAATGTTGTAATTCTATCCTGTATTTAATCGGTAATGGTGGAAATGACATCACATGATAAAAGAATTCGAGGAGTACCTGACACATGAGATAAAAAAATGTTTTGAATGATAGATCTGTTCTTTGCTTTGTTTGTGGTTGAATATGGGCTAAAATATTACTATTCTGAATCGTAGATGGCGTAAAATAATTAATCTTTTGCGATTAATCTTTATGTATTTGTAACATAAAGTTTTATAATGTGTTAGATTAATATTTATGCTATATTTATGCTATATTTCGATCACATTGTTATATTTAATTAGATACTAGCAATATACATCAATTCATATGCAGATGTTTCTTTATAATATAAATCTTATATTTCAAATTCAATTAAATACAAAATTCATACATATGAAAAAATTAGCATCGAAATTAACATCTCGGTAGTAGTATCACGGGAATGTGATGCCTACAAAATACCTTTTACTCCTATTTCTACGAGTCATGACTTTGTCTTAAAGAAAAAATAATTTGCGCGCGCACATTTCCCGCGTGGTCAGGGCGTAAGTGCATGCGTGCATTGATATACGTTTGTGTGTGTACACAGATCAGCTGAGCGCCAGCTGTGCTCTTCGCGGCGACCAATAAGAATCGCTTTTACTATTGCACAGCAGCGCCTCAAATACACGACCGGTGACCACAGATTTAGCGTTCCCGCGAAAGTAAGTCATAAACTTTAGTTCTCCGTTCAACAGTGTTATTTTGTGTATATATACTTGTTTTTGCATGATTATACAACAGTTTCTGCTACACCGCGGACAGTGCGTTCAAGTGTGATAGTACTTTCTCATATTCTTTGAAAAGGCTGTGGTAAAATCGAGCGGGAAATAGACACACAGAAGGCGTGGGTGCTCTGCCTTGTTGGATTTGTGCAATTGCCTGTACACAATATTTACCGTTTCAACGTGAACGTGCCACATTTTATGAGTAAAATACAGTTCTCGTGATTGATGGACAGTGACGTTTACAAACTTCTGCAACATTTTATCTTGCAAAAACATAATAAGAACAGGGCGTCTGTCAAAGCATGCCAACGTTGCAGTACGCTCATGTAAGCTCTTAAATTCAGTGTACGTATGCGAAAGTGATAGTGTTTATGGACCGGAATTAAATAATAGGACTTCAAAGAAGGTGTCCACCGAAAATTGGGAATTTTTTCCCCTTTGAGGTTATGTTATATATATAGAGGGCGTGACAGTGGCAGATTGCAAGCAGGGGTTGGTCATTGTTTCGCGCGCTGGTCTCCCGCGCTTCGAGTTCCACGTCCCGTATTTTTTTGAAGAATTACCATTCTATGATATCACGAGGCTCGATATTATATCGGAAAAGACTTTGAGAGATTTCTGTACTGAGAAATGCATTGCGAGAAGATAGTTATGACATAAAATATCGAAATCAAACGCAGCCAAGTATACGTGCATTATGGCGATCGGGTGCATGTGAGCTTTACGCGCTCTTTTACTTTACGTATTTTTCTGGTTTGATTGCAGACCGTATACTGTAGCAATTAAGCAGACGTTCAATTAAAACATCGAAGAACTTGTATACGTATTAAAAACAGCCGTTCCCGTCCGAAATATTTTTCGAACACGTCGACAATTTCGGAGCAAAATGCCGCAGACGAGGTAAGCGAACGAGTTTTCATTTAGTCTTAAAATTTCGTTCAATTCTTGCTGTATTTCATTAGAAACTTGTGGAATTCATTTGAAATAAATTCAACTGATGTACATGATTTTCTGTGCCTTCTAATTGAAAAAAAAATTGTGAAATATGCGTGTATAACCTTTTTTGATCAACATCTTCTTTTCAAAAATTGTAATAACATTATGTGAATAATACATGCATGGATTTTTACTTTACGGTTTTGTGAATACTTTATAAACTGTCTCATTAAGTTGTAACATTTTTATAGAATGTATATAACTTCAAAAAAATGTTTGACGTTAATTAGGATGTTAATTAGGACGTTAATTCTCTGTTATCCTTCAAAAATATTTTTACTCATCTTATAAAGACATTTTTTTCTGTTTGATACAATAAAACATTTATATTATCGTAATAATGTAAATAAAAAGTCATATTCTTTCCTTATCCAGTTTACATGGGAAAAAATCACAAACTTATTTGCAAGGAGGCAAAGTAGTAACACAAACTTCAAAACGCAAGAGACGAGCAACAGAAATTTCTGAAGATTCAGAAAACGTATATCCGCCTAGTAAAATACCAGCTGTATCACATGTGTCATACACAGAATCATGTCATACAGTACGTCCTTTAGAAAATTCATGCACACCACATCAAGTGTCACCATTGAAAGAGCAACAAGAGCCAGCTACATGGTCTGAATTAAGAACTTCAACTTGCTTTTTAACACCATCATCTTCTAAAAATGTATCAAATAGACCAAGTCCATTACCATCATTTTCATGGGCTGATGGTTCTCAAGTCTGGTCTCTCATGTGTATGGGAGATCAAAAGACTGTTACTCAAAGGAATCCACAAATGTTCCAAAGGCATCCAACATTACAACCAAGAATGCGGGCAATTTTGTTAGATTGGTTGATCGAAGTTTGTGAAGTATACAAGTTACATAGAGAAACTTATTATCTTGCAATGGATTACATAGATAGATATTTGTCCATTCATCAAAATGTACCCAAAAATCAATTACAATTAATAGGTATTACATGCCTTTTTATAGCTGCCAAGGTTTGTATATATTTTAATTGTCTTTTTGTTCTGCACTTATTAATTGGGCATTTTTAAATGAATAATTGATAATTTTTTTTTATAGGTTGAAGAAATATATCCACCCAAAATAGCAGAGTTTGCATATGTCACTGATGGTGCCTGCACAGAAGAAGAAATCTTAGGGAAAGAATTAGTGATTTTAAAAGGACTTGGATGGAACTTATCCCCAGTTACTGCTCCTGGCTGGCTTAATGTATACATGCAAATTGAATCAGGCGATTGGTCAAGGCCAAATGCATTTATTTACCCACAATATGGAGGTTTACAATATTCTCAAGCAGCTCAACTATTAGATTTGGCTACATTAGACGAAGGAAGTCTAAAATTTCCTTATAGTCACATTGCTGCAGCAGCAATTTACCACACACAAGGAAGAGAATGTGCCTTGAGAGTATCACGCATTCCATGGGACCAGCTTGCACCATGTGTCAAATGGCTTACTCCCTTTGCAATGACAGCAGCTGAAGAAGATTCTCAGTGCCTTTTAAGGTCTACCATAATATCTTTGGAGTCTCATTCTGGATCTGGACTTAAAGCAACAGTGCCTAACATCGTGATGGATGAATCGCATCGTATACAAACTCACGTTGTAGATTTAAATATGTTAGAAAGGGCACAACAACGATTAGTACATAAAACTCCTTCTACTGATACAAATGAATCAGATTCTAATATTGAATCTGGTAGACAGAGTCCAAATGAAAGCAGTCTTTTAACTCCACCATCTAGTAGTCAAAAGAATTCTACCACACCATCGCGTCCTCCACTGCAGTTGCACCCGTATACGTAATTAAATATTTATAAATACCTCATAGTCTTTAATTCATTTACTAATTGCTGGTGAATGATTTTAATTAAACATAGTAATGTACATGTTTGTCAAGAATATCATTACCTGCTTTAAACAGTTTTGCTTTTTGTAAAATTGCACAATGAGTTAAGTACGGGATTGCACGAGTGCACGATAATTGCAGCATTGCGTTATCGTAAATAATGGCTCTTCCTGTAAAAAATAAGTTCTCTTTGTGTAATGATATTTATCATGTAATAGTAAGCCTTAGTATAAGGTGTTAATCATTTTCTATAGTAGCGTCCATAGTGACATTGAATTTATTTAATACTATTTGTTTTATTATGAATTTTTAAAAGAAGTGCCTTAAATAGAGAAATGTAAACTTACATGCAAGCCTATGGCTACTTTCTGTGATTATATTCATGCAGTAAAATTTGATTATAGATTATATTAATACATTATTTTCAATAATCTCTAGACAATATTAATACCTGCAAAAAGTGTCCTTAAAAATAACTATTTTTATTAGTACCGAGCTAAAGAAAACATTGTGAATAGTATTTTTTTTATATATTTCGCTTTATTTTAACGCAACGTATTATTGAAATGCGTTATCAAGCCAGGTGAATGAATTTTTATGTATATGTACATTTTCAAGTACTAAAAATTAAAAAAAAAAAAGAAAGATGGAATGAACTGCAGTTGTTTATACACATTTATATCAAAAATTTGACAATAAATATTTGTAAATCTGATCATCAATCCAATTTTTTTCATAAATACATTAAAAACCATCCAAAACTTAGTTTTTGCGGTATAACTTTGTAAATTACTCAACGGTGATGGAGTAAATGTCGAAATTGACATTACCGACAGAGAAGAAATAGTAACGTGGCGCCACAGGTTCTCTCTAGAAACGGAATAACGCATCGTGATTGGCTGTTGCGTTTGCATTCAAGTTGTCAAATGCTAGACGGCCGTTAAGAAAGCGGTTGTGTGCTAAACATTGTACGGGAAATAATATCCGAGAACCGTGTACAAGGAATTTCAACGAAACAAAGTGATTTTATTTATTTTAACATTACATTGTTAGTGTTGTAGTGTTATAAAATTTACATTTAACGCGAGTACATGCTTGAAAGAAACCGTGTCTTTTGTTCATATCGTTGAACAACATGCAATGTGAATACTAACATTGAATTATCAGTGCTGTTTGATTTGTGTACAAGACATTTTACAACTGAATTCAATATCGCGTCGTGTTTGTAGTTGTTGCGTTTAATAAAACTGTCAACAAGTGTAATAATAATTGTGAAAATATCATGAGAATGTCAAGTCCAAGAAGTATCAATAGTTCTGTTCGCGAAGGAACTCGTGTAGTACTTCGAGAGACTACTGCATCCCTTCATAATTCGTCGCCTATGCAACTTCCTCGCCGTAAGGTATTTGCATATATACATACATACAACATACATATATACATACATGCTTTCGTTGCGAATGATAACGTGCCTGCAATGCGCATGACAATGGACTTTAAATTGGCATATCCCGCGTTCTTATCGTTTTATCATGTCCTTTTTTAACTCGTTCGCCTTTTCCCTTTGTTTTTATTGCAAACAGTTGTGCCGGAGAACGTCTATAAATAAACTTTGAATCTCCAGGAGCACCTTGAAACGAAAATAAGTTTTGCTTCCCGCGTAGGAATATTTTTCCTCGGCGCGTAAAACGGATCTATACTTGTCTATATTTTGTACAGTTACTTTACACGTTACATAAGAAATAAGTCACTTAAGACTAGAAATTGAAGTATTATTAAACCTGTTGATTATACTGAATAATGTTTCAAACAATGTGTTAAATGATTTCGAAGCTAGAGCATTATCCGACATAACCCTCATTTCTGTAAATGAACGAATTATACATGTGGTTTTCCAAATAGATCCATATATTTTTAATACATTGTTTCTCGATAAAGAGGTATAAGGTCTATGTCAAAAAAGCAGTGATTTGGTAGATATTGTAATTTTGTAAAACTTACGTAACGAAGACAAGGACAACGTAAACACGGGCTATTGCTTCGTGTCTATCCTTGTCTTGCATACGATGAGTTTTTATAACAGAGATTCCCAAACTTACTTGGTCTTCCCTTCTCAAATAAAAAATTACTTAGCGCCACCTTGAAAATCTACCTTGTTTGAGCGAACAAATAGAAAAATGCAGTGACAAATTTGTATTATTTCTACATAGCTGTATCTCTCTACATCTTCCACATAAGAAATAAAAAAAGATGTTGTTGCAAATAAGGCACAATGAAGCTTAAAATTATAAAATTATTTATTGAAATCGATTATAGTAATATTCGCAATACACAGAGAAAATTACAATAACGAAGGATAATATTAAAAATAATTTGTCAGTATTCTTAAACCACAATTAATTATTTGCAATCGGTTTCTTTCTTTATTTAGATTTATTTAGATTTGTGACTACATTGAACCCACGTTCCACTAAATGCGATGAAGGATATTCACTTTTGTATTATGGTATAATCTAGGATGAAGTGTAGGTATCTACTTTTGCAGCTGTCTTTGAATTTAAATTTCAATTTCTTATTTGTTGTTAGTTAAAAGATAATAGATACACGGTTTTACAAAATTTTATATTTTTCTCTTCCTTTATTCCTTTATTCCTTTATTCTTTCCTCTAGTTTTATTTAACGCCCCCAATTTGTACCTAAGGCTACTGTCACTTTCCTGTATCGTTCCAGCGTCCACTAGAGGACAGTATCGTCCACTTTGAGAAGCACTAGTTTGTAACATTATTATAACATGAATTAATATTTATTAAACTAGTGATTCCTCGATGTAAAAACACTTTTTTTTTTTTTTATAGAAAATGCTAAACTAAAATGCTAAAATAAATTGATTAATGTACTAAAAAATATATACGATTCTGTTTGAAAAAGACGCTTTTGTTCACAGAAGTGTTATTGTTGCATGTGTGCAATGTATAAAAAAATTTAAAAATATAATAAATTAAATTTACAATGTGTATATGTGTGTATATATATAATGTATATAATGTATATATAATATATATCATGTATATATAATATATATAATCTATATAATGTATATATAATATAATATATATAGATATTTATAATTATATATTATATATTATATATTTTGTATATTTTGTATATTTTGTATTAAGAATAAATGTACTATTCCTAAATATATAAGGGAGTATCATGTAATGAATTAATTCGTACTTGGACCTTGTTCACTATAATATTCGTTTTTTATAGGATATTTTCTCACACACACACACATACACGCGCGTGTATTTAATGACAGTACATACATTCTCAATATAGAGTACATAAAATAACAGCATACAAATATATTATAAATTTAATTTATTTATACAGAGTGGTGCGTAATCGGTGATACAATTTCAATTCAACTGTATTTCACTATTTCATAAATTCACTATTTAATAAATTTTCAGACTCAACTCTCGAAAACAAAGCTCTCTGTATCCAAGTATATTCAGTTACGGACTACTTTGTATGATAGAATTCAGAGTAAGAAGCGAGCAGACAAAGATAGCGAATGGAGAAAGTTTTTACATTAATAGTAAGGAGCGTTATCTTTGAAAAGTACCGTTGAATTAGCAAATTCTTTTCGAGGTTGGCTGAATCGTATATTCAATATAGGCGAGGTGGATATATCTGATACGAGAATTTTTTTCAATTGAATAAATCATTGCAATCTCGCCGATCGAACTACTTCGATGTTATAAAAAGGTGAAAATAAGCCTTTCCACCGGGAGTTTTCTTTCTTCTTGTCGGCGAAGCGCAGACCGGCCCGTATAAACGAGAGACGAAAAGAAAAAGTACACAAGGCCGCGAAAAGGGTGAATGATAAACGAAAGATGCGCCGTGTCGTCGGAAATAAACGTGTCGGGAGCGAAAATATATAGGCGGGGAGGAAGAAAGAAAGTTCTACGTGGGGTTCTGTGAACCCGCGGATAAATATGGCCTCATATCGGCCAGCAGTGACAGCCGAAAGTGGAGGTCCTTCGGGAAGTCA